ACCTTTAGCCCCCCCCCCCCCCCCCCCCCCCCCCCCCCCCCCCCCCCTGTGTGGACGCCTTTCTTTGTAGACATACTTCGAAGTACACATCGGGTTCCCTTCGCATGTCCCTGGAGGCATGAGATGTAGGTCGTCGACCAAATTGGACTGGATTTTGTTCTCAAATGGAACCGTCTGCAACCGTCGCGTGAAGAATGATTCATTATCTCTTTCTCGATTGCACTCCCAACGACGGTCTGGGTTTCGACAACTCATAAATGACTTTTTTTGTTGACCAACGATATCACGCTGCACATGCCCAAGTACGTCTACCGTAGGTCCACGTTGTTGACCTGGCAGGTTGGTTTGTCGAAAGCGACCTGAGGGATTCTATCCTGACATGTGTTTTACAATCATTTTCCCCCAGCTTGACGGCGGGACAAAACAAAACAGCAACAACGAACCGGAAGCGGAGACATTCGTTGAAATAAAAATGAACAGGCCACAAGAAAACACACGGCCAAGGATAAGACAGGTCGGATGGTGAACACAACAAAAAAATGTGGACACACGATACAGGAAACGGGGACGGGGGGCGGCAAGGAAAAACATTGCTGCTGCTACCGTAGCCCGTGCGAAAAAAAGAAAGAAGCAGGCTACATAGTCTACAAGAGAGAACACGGGCACACAACAAATAAATGTGGCCACAGGGTACAGGGAACGGGGACGGGGGGTGACAAGAAAAAACATTGCTGCTGCTACCGTAGCCCGTGCTAAAAAAAATAAACAAGCAGGCTACATAGTCAACAAGAGAGACCACACGGCCAGGGATAAGACAGGTCGGATGGCACACAACAAAAAACAAACGTGGGTGCCGGGGACTGGGACGGGGGGGGAGGGGGAGGGGGTGACCTCTACACGCTACACAGCAAAACATTGCGAAAACTGAAAAAGCGTACGCAAACCAGCTCGCAAAACACATGCCAACAAAAAGATGAAATGTCTCCTCTCAGGGGATTCGTGTTTTAACCTTTCCTTTCTTCCTCTCCCTCATGACCAACACCCCTCTTCCGCGCCCCGGTAAATCCCGGGAGGGAATTAGACCTTGTCCTGGACCGTGTTGCGCCTAAAACGATGGGGGCAACGTCTCGGACACTGGAAGTGGGCGTTGCCATAGCAGGCGATGAAGACACGGACGTAGGGAGGGTCGATCGCAGACGCGGGTGTTGAACCAGCAGGTGATGTCGAAGTGGACGCAGGCAGGGCGGTGACCTCAGGAGCAGTGGCAGGCGGTGCCGCTGCAGATGAACCCGACGCAGATGCGGATATACTGGGGGCACCTGCTGCAGCGGGTGGCGTCGGGGCCGAGACGGGTTTGAGCATGAAGTCGGCGTCATCCATGTCATACAAGGCCGATATAGAGGCTCGCAGTGCCATCGCCCTTGGCCCTTCCAGTATAAACTCCAACTTCCCACTGGGGTCGTCGGTTTTAGCTTTTTCGGCCAAGCGAGCGTAATCCCAGCGACCCCTGTGGGCGGCTTCTTCGTCCAAAGCCTGCATCGACACAACGGCTGCCGACAAAGCTCCCACAGCCGTCACCAGCTTGCCTGTATGGGCCTGCTGGACGCGGCGCGCCTGCTCTTGCGCGTTCGCCGCCGCCACAACTGCGTGCTCTTTCTTCATCTGCGCACGGCTTTGAATTTCGCCGGTNGAGCGTAATCCCAGCGACCCCTGTGGGCGGCTTCTTCGTCCAAAGCCTGCATCGACACAACGGCTGCCGACAAAGCTCCCACAGCCGTCACCAGCTTGCCTGTATGGGCCTGCTGGACGCGGCGCGCCTGCTCTTGCGCGTTCGCCGCCGCCACAACTGCGTGCTCTTTCTTCATCTGCGCACGGCTTTGAATTTCGCCGGTCCCTGCGAACATCCGAATCGCGCTCGACGACAAATCTACCTCGGTGTACGCACCGCTTGTCTCCGACCCGCTTCCGTCGATGGTGCTGGGCGACCCTTTCTTCGCATTCTGCTTCCCTCCGCGACCCTTCAGCCCGGACGTTTTCCGCGCGGTCCTAAGGTCAGGGTCCTCGCTGCTGCTTGGCCTTCCGATAAGGCAGTAGGTGAGGAGATAGGGGTGCATCCACTTGTTGGGCCTGTCAGGACACCCGCCGTCTACTTCTTCGATATCTTCGGAGGGGGCGCCATCCCCGTGGCCCTGATTGCCGACGGCTGGCTCCTTCTTGATCCCCCCCACCCCCGGTGCACCACCTTCGCTTTCCTCCGGCCAGCCGCCGTCCTGGAGCTGCCCCGGTGGCGATTCCCCATCGTTACCACCTTTGTCCTGCAAGCCCGCCGGTCCCCCGCCGTCCGCAACATCGTCGTCGCCGTCTTCCTACTCGATGGGGTCCTCGGCGTTCCCGGAGCTGAGATAGTATACACCGTTCAGAAGGTAGTCGAGGGCATCTATCTTCTTGCTCGCCCGACGGCAGGTTACCTTCAGGTTGTCCTTCCACGAAACTGGGACAGGGGTGCACCGGAGCAGGGAGAGGGGGGGGGGGGGGGGGGGGGGGGGGGGGGGGGGGGGGGGGTGCAAGAAGGGGTGAGGTTACAGAGGACAGAGAAAACGGTACGCCGGGATTGCCAATTTGTTTGGTACGTCGGTGGAGTAGTCTAATTAATTACTGGGGGCAGGCTATGCCATGAAGGGGGGCTATGACCAAGCACAAGGATGTTGCGGTTTTTGCTGGAAAACTACAGGGTTGTGGGTTGGGGTTTGACTACCTATTGCTCGCAGCTAGTGCGTTTTGAGCGCTGGGGGGGGGGG